TATGATGATGATGATGATGACTATGATGATGCTGAAATCGCAATCAAATTTGCACGATCCAGTGAAGCTTTTAGCACGTTCTACTTTTATTAATTTACAATTAAGCTGTAAGTTATACCGGAGTGTCACATTCGCTCCTTAAATCTATTACCAGAAATGTTTCGTTCAACAGTTCGTGTCGATTGTTCGAGTACCGTGTTCTCGTGCCTTAAAGGGACACTCGGATGAAAACGCCCTAATTTTTGAAAGTCAGAATAATTGAAGTATTTGGGGATAATATGACTCAATTACGATTATGAAAACCAGATTAGTGAAACTTTTAGCCTGTGAGCCATTTGTTGTTGAGAAAGTTTGGTTCAAAAGAAAAGAACAATAGGGTTGAGTAAATGACGTCATTTACTCACAATTTAGATGCTGAATAAAATTGATAATTTTCATCCACCACTTTTGACTGTGAAGGAAACATGTTGCTTGGCTACTATCTGGGCCATATAGATAAGTTTAACCAAGTTTCAAGCCATTTTCAATTTTCATCGATTTTCATCCAAGTGCCCCTTTAAAAGTTCTGGTTCTACAAAATCTTATAAAGACCTGTTCATAAATATCATGATAATGAAATCAAATAACTTTGTTTAACGTCAATAGGCCTTTTTACTGATACGGCTGACATCTTGAATCATGGGATGCCCAGAGAATTAACGTAGAAATATCTATAAAGCATAGAGTGGCGAAGTGACGTTTTCAAATGATTTTACTTTTTGGTATTCTACATGTTCCTCTAACTATCAGGAAATTCGATTGGTTTTTATTCAATCTTGCACATTGGATAACGTAAAGTTATAGAAAAACCCTGTCAGCTGTAAAAGTCTATAAATTTTCCAATATTTGCTCCTTCGGCATCCCATAATTTATTACTGAAAACAATGGAATTCAAGATGGCCGCCGTACCAGTAAAGACTTCTCGCGGATAAATTCAAAAACGTCGAAGTCAAGCAACAAGGCTGTATGGAGAGATGTTGTAAAGACGGTGCACTCGTTTTTGAAAAATCACCTCTAAGCAAGAAGCACTCAATTATCTTAATACTATGGGTTACAAAGTGTTCTACAAATATTTCTAAAGTCAAAACGAAATATCAAACTTAGGATATATAAGAAGAAAGTTGAGTAGCTTGTTTAGGGCCTGAGCGCAGGCACAATGAAGAGAATGGCAGACAAGGCCAGCAACTGCCAACTATCTTGCCGAACGACAGCTTTGCTTACGGGGCCGTTGGTCGTCTCTGGTGTTGCAGTTGAGGAAGTTGTGTCATTTTTCTGCTCCTCGGGGATTAATGTGACAGTTTTGTAGCCCATTTCTTTGTAGGTTGATTCCAGTTCCTCTATGTTGCCATAAGACCAGACTACAATCATTGGGCCAGGCTGAAACAAACCGCAGTAATTCAGGGTCAAAAAATCAGACGTTTTGAATTCTAATACGATTTATCGGTGGCCTTATCATTACAAAACCTCCGTCCACCATGGAGTGGTAAATCCAGTTAGATTTAAGGGCGGATCCAGAGGAGGGGTGCAGGGGGCCGGACTAGCTCCCCGGCCCCACTTTACAACTCGTCGTTTTTCCCTTTTTTTCCATATGTAATATTAGAGATAATCATTACTCTATAATATCGTAAACCTTTGTCACGAAAAACAAAAGAAGAATGTTTAAGAGCTGTCTTTTATACCAGTAGCAACATATTTGTATGTGATACGACAGGTATAGTGTAATGTATGACGTCAACAATGATGTCACTCTTGCCTGTTATACCAGTAGCAGCATGTGTGTGTTACGACAGGTATAGTGTAATGTATGACGTCAACAATGATGTCACTCATGCCTGTTATACCAGTAGCAACACATATGTATGTGATACGACGGGTATAGTGTATGTATGACGTCAACAATGATGTCACTCATGTCTGTTGTACCAGTAGCAACATATGTGTATGTGTTACAACGTGTATAGAGTATCTATGACGTCAAATATTACGTCACTTATTTTGTGTAGGTTTTGGACCCCCCTCAAAAAAATCCTGAATCCGCCCTTCAGATGTTTTTAGAACTCTTTGCAAAGTGTGCTGAATTATTTGTACATCGTATTGAATGAATATTCTTGCGTTGTCAAAAACCTCCCGAATATGGATAAATTTGGACAAATTTCGTTCCCTGATTCCCGCCAATATTTATTAATATATAATTGAAAGTCTGGGTACAGTGATAGTCGCACATTCTGTTTTCTGTTGGCTCATGCATAATGCAGTCAAATATGATGACGATGACGTTGACGACGATGATGATGATGATCGTGATAGTGATGATGATGATGATGATGATGATGATGATGGTGATGATGATGATGGTGATGATGGTGATGATGATGATGGTGATGATGATGNTGATGATGATGATGATGATGATGATGATGGTGATGATGATGATGGTGATGATGGTGATGATGATGATGGTGATGATGATGATGGTGATGATGATGATGATGATGGTGATGATGATGATAATGATGATGGTGATGATGAAAGGAATGATGAGGACGATGATGCATGATGGTGATGATGATGGTGATGGAGATGATGGAGATGATGATGGTGATGGAGATGATGATGCTGATGATGATGCATGTTAGCGGGGATAGAGGATAAAAAACACCATTACTCGTTACCACTTCCCTGGGTAAGAAAACAAGTCGAGTTCATTATGAAAACTATGGGAGGGCTTGATGTTTACATTGATCAGTGTATAGTGCGTGATATTTAGAAGTCAAGGGCGGATCCACTGGGGTAGATTGGGTGACTAGTCGTCTTCTTTTGGAGTTGAAAAATAGTAAAAGTAAAGGATAAGGTAAGACCTTAAAAAGAGAAGGTTATGTGATGCCTTTGTAAGTACTGAAAGTGTAACTACGGAAGTGACTCTAAGTTACCTTGATGACGGTATCGTTAGAGTCTTTTGTATCAAGTGCCCTTTTAAACTTGATGGTAGTATAATAATTATTTTCTGCCACTGACTTTTCGATCAAGTTTTGTTGAGTATCATTGACTGGAGTCTGTTTACCAACAGCATGGAAGTCCTGCGTGAAAATATTGACAAAGTTATGTTAAACCAAAGTCTGACAATAAGATGCCAATGAGACAAACTCATATACCCGTGGATACACGCTTCGGCCGTGAATACAGTTCAATTCACGAGTTGAAATCAAAGTTAAAAGATAGTTCATTTAATAAGAGGCTGAACAGTGAAGCAAGAAGAGAGGGCTACAGAGAAGCTAGTGGCTCGTGAAGCGCAGGAAGCGCGTGCAGTAAATTATAAAGCAACATGGATGCATTCGAACGTGTAGACAATTCGCTGACTAACATCTTTCAAGGGCCAAATGAAGAAGGGACAGTGAAATTGAAATAAAGAATTTATTTTTCAATTGATCGTTTTTGTAATGTTTCGTTATTTGAATACACATTTTTGCTTTAATGCTTTTTTCAAACTCCGTGCGCCCTAAAGTGTTTGATGGTAAATTGATGGGTTGCAAGCATTCCCAAGAGAGTCAAAAGACAAAAACATGGCGGCCATTGTGGTACCGTTAACAATGGATGCTAATGAGAAATCTTTTGTTAAATGGCACCAACATGGCCGCGATGAAGTAACGTGCAATCGAAGAATAATTACTTTATATAATTCGCTAATTACACCACCTAGCCTTTAATGCTATTTTTTCGGCCTCGATTTTGCCGCACAACTACTTGCACTTGATAGATTTTCCTCAAACTCGGCAGACAGAATTATGACCATATTTTAACCAAGAATTTGAAGTTTCATGAAAATTGATCAATTTTTAAGCGAACAGGAGAACAATATTGCGAAAGACCACTGTTAGAAAATCGGCCCGTAACGGCAAACGCGACTCAAAAATAATATTTCGAATACACCGTTATATAATAAAAGAGACTAATAGCGAATCTTTTGTTAAATTCCTCCAACATGGCGGCCGCGAAAACTATCAATTCAAAAATATAGGAGTGTTTTTAACGCGATAGGGGCGTTAAATGTCTTTAATGAATGACTCTTTTTATACCGGCTAATCACCCTGTCATAATTTGCGTTTGATCGAAGTTTCCAAAAATATTTATCGCGTCTTAGAGTACAAACACTAAAAGTGTGCAGCACTTTGCACTATTTAGTAGTAAATAGTGCTAATTAAACAATAGAAAACAATAGGATTAGCATAATTTAGCAGTATTTAGTGTATTCATGTTGCACACTTATAGTGTTTGTACTCTAGTTCAAATTACTGCTTGCAATTTCTAAAATATATATTTTTCAGCTTTTTCACGAATTCATTTACATCATCCTTTACTTTTTTCACTCCCTCGTTGCTGTTCAGTTAATAATAAAAATAAATCAAATTCTGCTTCAATATTTCTGGTTTCAGCTGTAGCATTTTCACTTCTAAACCGCAAAAAACGGTTTTCAAGATTACCTTCGCTATCGGTATTATTTTATTCAAATTAACAATACATTGTCATGAAAGGTATATATTTAAGAAATATAAAACCCGCACGCGTGTATCTTTACTGTGACATAAACATACTGGACCTGTAGAGCAAGAGAGAAGCAAGCTTAGGAACACGAGGCGTAGCCGATGATATAAAATATTTTTGAACTATTTTTCGCGAGTGTGTCTCCGTCCTCTGAATCAGCGAATCAGCGCGCGCATTATATTTTAAATATTATATATATTTATATATAATATAATTGTTATGAAGTCACGCCTAGTTTTCGTTTCTGAGCGCGAATCTATCACCAATAAAACGTACGAAATTATGCATTTTCATGAATACTTACGTATATTTCCTTCTTTTTAGTAAGATCATCGTCTGATCCCCTGACTACGTCATACGTTGTCGTATTGTCAATCTTGCTCGTGAATCCAAGTCCTACCCATCCAGAGGTTCTTGCTTTGGCGGCGAAGGATATGGTCGAATCAGTCTTGTCGTACGTCCAGTACAGCATGCAGTCTGATTCATTTATAGCGCTTAAACGTTCCTCGTTTTGGTATTCATCGGATAAAGCGGCTTGAGAAGGAACAGAAAAAGCGAAAACAACAACGAGAGTACCAAGAATGGCGAACATATTTGCACGAACAGAGCTTTGACAACAGGCTCGATAAACGGTTTATAAGGTGTGCCTTGCTTTAGTAGGAAGATTATAAGGTCAGACCTGCGCACTTAGAAATATCACGACTTTCAATATTACTAACAAGGGCCAGGTGTATGAACAATGGAACTCGTGAGTTACCATAACAGGTAACGCACCTATGAAACATAAGCAAATAAAGGGCAAAGTGACTTTCTAAAAATGATGCATGCTGATGTAAATTTAAATAATAGTGCGACACGTGGGCGAATAAAGCATTGTATAGCAACGACGGGTTGTCTTCGTAAGACAATTATATATATTGCCTATAATATGTCTGTGCAGTAGTTCATTAAGTAGTTCATTAGTGGAAGTTTCTAGAAATACGTTTCGTGACTTAGTGGTGCTTAATTCCAACTATACCTATCTGTACCTATAAGTCTTTAGTACTCCAACCAATAAGATTCCTTCAGCTTTGATAATGATTTGAACATTCTAGAGGCTATTGACATTAAGGGGGCTGAAGCAGTCTTATGTCTGTTCTGCGCTAAATCTCTTTGGTTTTGTTTTATGAAATGACCTTTACTTTAAATAAAGGTCGCCTCATGATACTTTATTCAGGCTAGTATTTGAAAGATTTCATGCTAAGCCTGTATATATATATATATATATATATATATATATATATATATACACACACGTATGTATATATACAATGACGGCTTGAATGCATATGTAAACCCGTGGTAATCTTAATTTCCTTTCGCTTTGGAAAATAATTAATGCTAAGAATGCTTACCCCTTATAAGTCTCTGTAGATCGCGTTGTTTTTCCCTTTCCCTCCCCCTCCTCCTTCCCCTTTTCCTCCCCCTCCCCTCTTCTCCCCCTTCCCCTCTTCTCCCCGCACAGAACCCTTTTTAGTGCGGATTTCGAGATCGAAAGCATAACTACGCGGTCTTCCTGTGTTTCGAGCCTGCAGTAGCTTTGAGTAACAGACGTTTTGTCATGCGTCAGGAGAGGATCCAAAGATGGAGGATGTTGTTGTTGTTTTGTTTTCGTATTCACGTTCTTTATGACACTGATCTTATTATCCCTTCACAATGAGGGATACTTTGTACCAAACCTTACAGCAGCGAGTCTATGGATCTGTTACTCCAGATCTGCTGTTCAAGCGAGCTCGTGGTGTGTTTAATATTTTTATTGACAGTTTTACGCGATCGTTGTTCATTTGTTGTGCTTCGTAACTTATAGCTGTTTTTGCTTTCTCGCTGTTTCAGATAGTAAATACCTCCTTCAATGTCTCCAGAGGACCGGCACGCTAACAGGACACGATGGATGCGTAAGTAGATAACATTATTTTGGTATTTGTGGCTGTATTTTGATATTTTATCGAAAACAGAAAGGTGTTTTTGAGAAATAGTTTTGATCGTTTGACAGCAGTCGATAAAAATACGGGAATAAATTATTCTGCAATAAAATAAAAAGAACAGTGATTCAACGCATATTTTCTGATCTTCTGGACATGGTAATTGTGAAGTAATTACAGCATTTGAGACATGTCTTAAATTAATTTTTTAAAATTTTTAACGAGCTTAATCTTTATTTTGAACAAATATACCTTGGACGTGAGACGATTGCATGAAAATTAAATGCAAAATTAGGAGCAGTTAAAGAAATTTCTGTTTGTAATGATCGATTCAAAATGTAATATTAATATTACATGTATCTACCTAACATTTGATTGAGCTCTGATTGGTTAAGAGATTGCAACGTCAGTGTCTTTATATTTAGCTACTTAGCATAACCATTTTTGTTCAATGTCTTTCCATGTTTTGCTTTTTCTGATACTGACAGGTTAATACAATCGCTTGGAGTGACTCTGGTGATCTGTTGCTTTCTGGATCAGATGATTGTAGGCTGAATATATACAGACCTTATCAGCATAAGGTACGTGCATATACACATTATATATATACCATTGATTACCATGGTATATTGGCCTACATGTTCATTATATACAGACCTTATCAGCATAAGGTACATGCATATACACATTATATATATACCATTGATTACCATGGTATATTGGCCTACATGTTCATTATATACAGACCTTATCAGCATAAGGTACATGAATATACACATTTTATATATACCATTGATTACCATGGTATATTGGCCTATATGTACATTATATATATAGACCTTATCAGCACAAGGTACGTGCATATACACATCATATATGTACCATTGATTACCATGGTATATTATAATATAATTAGATTATTACATGTGCTTTGATTGGCCAAAAACCAATGAACTATTTCCCCATGGGCTGCACGCTCGCACACACTGATCTCAACAGACGCTCGCCGAGTGAGCGAGATGGGTGATATAACGTGCACTCTGATTGGCTGAAATGCCTATGAACTATTTGCCCATGGGTCGCACGGTAGATTTTTGGTCATATTATAAATCAGTTAGACGACAAAAAAGCGCTCGCCCATGGCGATATAGACGCACTTGAGAAAATATAAAGAACTCTTAATAAGCTAGTGTCACTTGGCTTCGCCTGTGCCACTCTTTCGCTTGTTAATTGTTCTTTATATTTTCTCTTGTGTGTCTATATCGCCATGGGCGCGCACTTTTATGTCGTCTAACTGATAATTGGCCTACATGTGCATTATATATAGACCTTATCAGCTCATATATATAGAAATACTACTGATATACTAAATAATTATTAAAAGATTATTAACAGTATGACTTACGTTTCCATGTACATGGATATCCCTGTCTTTATTTTTTACTGTTATTTCTTGTAGTTACTTAAGTCAATTTCCACTGGTCATCGTGCCAATATCTTCAGTGCAGCGTTTCTTCCATGTACAGCAAACAAACAGGTGAGGAACGGTCATTCCTTTAATCCAATACCAAAAATAAACTATTAATTATGTACTATGGGAAATTTGTGCATCCAACTTGTATCATTGTGTCATTTGATTATACAGCTTCTCATTAATCCCATATAGGTAACTGTCCAATTATTTTCTTAATTGGACAGTTACCTATATGGGTTTAATGAGAAGCTGTATAATTATTATAATAATTATTGAAGATGCAATTTATGTTTCTTCAAGCGTAATTAATATATATTTTAAATACCATCTAGACCTAATTGAACGCTATGAGTTCCAGTAGTTCAGTGGTTAGTGTCTGACTTGCAAACAGAAGGTCACAGGTTTGAATCACACCTGAAGCTTGGAAATTTTTTTTCCGAGAAAAATATGCTTGAAGAAACACAAATGGCATCTTTAATATTCTAGTTGTTGATGGTCAAGTCTTGTCCCAATTCCTTTCTACTTTAATATGCAACAAGCTATTCCCAACCCTAAGTACTGGGGCAAGAGCCTCTGAAATGCGGGGAAGCTATTTCTATGTAACCACAGTTTAACAGAACAGAATTCACTTGTAATATGTACTAGATAGCGTAACATAAGATTAATAATATGTGGTTTCAGATTGTGTCATGTGCTGGAGATGGGATGATTCATTTTACTGAGCTACAAAGACCAGAATTATATGGAAAGTGTTCTTATAACTGTCATTCTGGAACAGCATATGAGGTGGGAATAAAAACTGCTTTACATTGAATTGAATGATCTTAGTTTGTAAAAAAAATGTCCTTATTTTACGAGGCTAGCATTTAATAGCTAGTGGCTACACAAACTTGTGGCCTTTATTCCATGATTGAATTGGAATTGAATTGGAGGGAAGAAAACTAGAGAACCACTGGAAAAAACCCTCGAACACACAGGAGAGAACCAATTAGAAACTCTATTGTTATACGACATTATGAGAGGCAAGCACTCTCTCCTCTTTGTCATTCATGCTTCCCAAATTCAAAGGATCTTAATATGATCTAATATGTACTAATTGTGCTGTCTAATGCAATGTTTAGCTAGTCACAACACCAGGAGACCCTAACACATTCAAGTCCTGTGGTGAAGATGGTACAGTGCGTTTGTTTGATATCAGGACCAAGTCTAAATGTTCAGCACGGAACTGTAAAGAGGTGAGATAGGGCAAGCACTGCTATCAAATCCTCTTCTCTTGTCAGCTTCATTCTGGTTAAATAGGTTGTTATTTATAACAGTTGGATTATCAGCCGATTGCAAGTTTCTATGAGCATGAAGGAAGGGTGGGAGGGAGGGGAGGGGGGTTGTTTGCCCTTTACTGAAGGCTGATAATGGCATTTATGCATTTAAACACCAAATCAAAATATGGCGTCCAAACTATTGTTCTGCACTGACTACCCTCTCATACGTGTGAAAACGCTTTCATGTTTCCATGTGAACAGAACAATAGTTATTTAAATTGTTCACCATATTTTGATTCTGTATGAGATAATTTTTTAGCTGGTTGATACCAAGCAATAGAATACTCTCTGGTTGATAGCACGTGATGGCAGTGTTTGCCTGTCATTGTAGGCTGGTAATGAGATTCATGAGATTCATTCAGCTGGTTGATACCAAGCAATAGAATACTCTCTGGTTGATAGCACATGATGGGTAGTGTTTGCCTGTCATTGTAGGCTGGTAATGAGATTCATGAGATTCATTCAGCTGATTGATACTAAGCAATAGAATATACTCTCTGGTTGATAGCCCATGACGGGCAGTGTTTGCCTGTCATTGTAGGCTGGTAATGAGATTCATGAGATTCATTCAGCTGATTGATACTAAGCAATAGAATATACTCTCTGGTTGATAGCCCATGACGGGCAGTGTTTGCCTGTCATTGTAGGCTGGTAATGAGATTCATGAGATTCATTCAGCTGATTGATACCAAGCAATAGAATACTCTCTGGTTGATAGCACATGACGGGCAGTGTTTGCCTGTCATTGTACGAGTATCAGTTTTGTATGTTCATTAGTATCTGTTTATATTTTATTAGGATGTCCTGATAGATTATGGAAAAGCCATCACATCTATGGGTGTAAACCCTTTGACACCCTATCAGCTAGCCATTGGTTGTGAAGACAGTACTGTTGCTTTGTTTGACTGTCGCTCTTTGAGTACAGCAAACTCTAGTCGAGGAATGAAAGGAATGCTATGTAAATTTAAACCGGATTCCCTCAAAGACAGGACATGTCGAGTTACGTCCCTGCAGTATAGGTAACAAGTTAATGTGATGGTGTTAAAGTGCCTATGACCCCTAATTCAATGTTTTCAGCATTGATTCTACATGAAATTAAAAGTTAAACAGTAAAATATTTTTATAGGACTTGTGTGATGCATCTTGGGGATATCAAGGTTTATACTTCCAGTATGCTAATGAGTGTGATGTCATAGTAGGCAATTGGGTTTATTTGTCATCATTTTAAAATCAAAACACTGATTACAATGAGGAAACAAATTTTCAATAACCTTTCTATAAACCCTGAGTAAGATAATTATGTTTTATACAGGATATTTTACTACCCCAGTATATTTTCGTATATACCTTAACGGGAGTACATCCCAGAGTTACAGCGACAACAACAAAATTTATGTCAAAATTCAAATTACCGCACTCACCACTAGCTAAGCACCAACACCAACGACAACAACAATAGCGATGTCATACTGTTAAATCTGTTAAATCTTTCATGTTTTTCATTCTTTCTCTACAGTTCTGATGGATGTGAGCTGCTTGTTAGCTACTGTGCAGATTACGTATACTTGTTTAACATGAGAGGAGAGAAAGAAGTTCGTTTGACTTGTGAAGGCGGAGGGCACGAAAATGGAGCATTTTCAAATGATGATTCAAAGAGGAGCCTCCCTCTTAAACGACTGCGTCTGCGAGGGGACTGGTCTGATACTGGTCCGAATGCTAGACCTGAAAGTGAAGCTGCCTCAAGTGAAAGCACGCTCATGCAGCGCATGTCTGATTTATTTGTCCGCTGGATTGAAGAATCGTTTCGAGGAAACCAAAGGAATAGAGCGAGGACAGGATCACACACAAGAAGTGAGTCTTCCTCTTCTTCTTCTTCAATGCCGTCTCTACCTTCTTTACCTTCTCGTGTGAGGTCTTCATCTGATAGCTCCAGGGCGACTAACATATCCGAAACGCTGCCATTCGATGAAGGAACAAGTAACCAGGACTCTGTTGATATGAACGTTGATGAATCCTCTAATGATGTCTTTGAAACTGCGTCAAGTGGTACATCAAATATGATGGACGCAGAGGACCAAAAGAAGGACGATGATGATGATGATGGCACTGATGAGAAAATGGATTTGGTTTTGAATATTGACCACACTGTGGCGGGACCAAGCGGTGTGAAAATTGAAGTCACTTCTCCTAACACTACAGAAAACAAAGACACTAAAGAAGACGATCCTGATAGTGATCGTGAAGACATGGAAGCACAATCTAATGATGATTCAAATAACGCATCAGGCACGCCCGGTGCCAACTTAGAAAAGACTACGGAAGGAAAAGAAAGAGACTGCAAACAAGGCGTGGAAGAAACACATGGTAATGTATCGGAGGGTGTGACTGAAGTGCGTGATGAGATATCGGAGGGTGTAGCCGAAGCACGTGGTAATGTATCGGAGGGTGTGGCAGTAACGCGTGGTAATGTATCGGAGGGTGTAGCCGAAACACGTGGTAATGTATCGGAGGGTGTAGCCGAAATACGTGGAAATGTATCGGAGGGTGTGGCAGTAACGCGTGGTAATGTATCGGAGGGTGTGGCAGTAACACACGGTGAGGTATCTCCAGGCGTCGTCACTACTGAACCCAATCAAGAGTCACTTGAACATCATTTGGCGGCAATACGAATACAACGTCTATTCAGAAATTATAAGTTAATAAAGAACTTCGAACAAACGAACGAACCTCGTGACGGAGAGATGGGCGAACAAAAAGAGGTTTGGATACCTAAGATGACCAGAGTGTTCCGTGGGCACAGAAATGCTCGAACCATGGTAAGCCAAACAGATTACTTTCAGGAATACGAAACATGCATGTTGAACAAAATGCTATTGCCATACTCAACAGATAAAAGAGGCAAGGTTTTGGGGAGATCGTTTTATCATGAGCGGAAGTGACTGTGGTCGAATCTTCATCTGGGATAAAGACACGACAGAAATAGTAATGACCCTACAGGGCGATCGACATGTTGTCAACTGTGTGCAACCACATCCATTTGATCCAAGTAAGTAATGCAAGTGGATGGTGATTCCTCGATGACTCTCGAATTTTAACCCCTCTCATTTAATATTGGAAAAATCTCCTTTACTTTGTCGTCATTATATATCAATAATGACCCTTCTTAAAGGTATCGTGGAAATACAAAATAATCCCAGTTTGTCTCAATGAAATTTGTGTTATTTCTTTTGTATTTTCATGTTATCCTCGCACATTATTCAAGACAATTTTAAGAAGGGTGCATTACAATTCAGCCGTTTGAAATGCAGTTGGGACCAACGAAGGGATTAATACCTGATTATTCTTTACATCGTAATAATTATTTTTCTCTTCTCGTTTTAGTTCTTGCTTCAAGCGGTATTGACTATGATATTAAACTGTGGGCACCAACAGCAGACACACCATTACAAATCGATGGTCTAGATGAGGTAAGTGTTACGGGATACCTGTGTACTATG